GTTATTTATAACCCTCTTTAAATAAGGGCCCCGGGTTATGGGTATTAATAATAATAATAATAATAATAATAATAATAATAGTAATGATAATAATAATATTTTCATAATAAACTTTTTTTTTTATAAATTTTTATAACGTTATGTTTTTCGTTTCAAAAAAAAAAAAAAAAAAAAAAAAAAAAAAACAATAAATTTTATTATTATTTTATTCATCATTTGAATAGTTTAGGTTTATAATAATAATAATAATAATAATAAGTATTTGTCCCTAAGGAATCGGGTAGAGACCTGGGATAAATGCTTAACAACCCCGACAAATAAGAGCCTTGTCGTGTTTAAGAGTGACCATAATAATAATAATAATAATAATAATAATAATAATAATAATAATAGTTTGGAAAAGTATTTTAAGGTGGATTGAACCGCGCGTCGATAATAGTAAATCCCCAAAGTGGGATTCAACTCGTACTTTGTTTTTTTTTTTTTTTACAAATAAAATGTTTTATTTTATTATTATTCCATTAGGTTTTTAATAACGTCAAGGGTAGAATCAAAAAGTAGTTTCTAATTTAGGGGATTATAACACCCTCGAGATTTTTTTTTTTTTTCAAGTATTGCGATTCGAAAGTATAGGAAATGTTCGTGTGCGTGTGCGTATGCGTGCGTGTGGGTTTTGAAAAATAAGTCTAACCTTTACTCTCCTTTGATTGTGTTGTAAACAATGGATAATGGGGTTGTTTATGTTTTTAACAAGGAATTAATTGTGATAAAAGGAGTTTTAATTTACTTTTTTTAAATTTAAGAGAGAGAGAGAGAGAGAGAGAGATGAGTTTAACCCCAAAAATGTTTGAAAAAGATGATGATGGTATTAATTATTCGTACGAACCTGAAATAAATTGAAAATAAATTAAATAAATAAAAATTTTTTATATATATGATTTACAGGAAGAGTAAAACTTTTCTTTTATTTTTATAATGTTGGTATTTCACGTTGATAAAGGTATCGAAACCACAAAATTATTTAATTAGTTCGAATTAATGAGTTTATATATATTTATTTGAAAACGACAGTCAGGTATTAGCATTTTTTGGGAAATTTTTT